ATGATGTTTTGATTGGAGAACCATTTAAATTCATTCAAAAACAATTCCCACACAAAAAGACTCGAAAACCACTTCATTTAAGTAAAAACCACGGCTAGCTAAGTTAATGCCGTTTCACATTGTTTTTATCAAACGACAAAAAATGAAAGGTCGTTTTGAAGTGTTTTTGATGAAAAACTATTTAAATGTGCCCAGAAGTAAAAACCAGTCATAAAAAGTTGAAAAGCATTTGGTTAGTTCGGACGCCAAAAACAAACGCCGAAAACTGAATGCTGAATGCCGGTTTCTGAAACCCGAACGCCGGATGGCTTGGATTTTGGTTTGGGCGAACACCAAGTGTTTTTAATGACTTAAAGAAGTTTGAAAAACATTTTTATGATGTTAGAAATGCAATGAAAGAGTTTAGCCTAAAGAGCCAAGGTGTAAAGATTGGGTCGGTCTTGATCACAATAAAGACCGACTCAATACTATTATTAAGGTCTTCGTTCTTGGTCTTCGTTTAGCTCTTGCTCTTATCTTCGTTCTTCGCCTTGTATATTCAATGTTCGACTTGATCACGGCGGTTTGGCATTATCAAAACCTGTTACAAAAACGAACACGGCTTTAGTCAGAAAACGTGATAAACCCGTGTTTCAACAATTTCCCCCTTTTTGATAATGGCAAACAAGACGGGGTTATGCATAGGAGGATTGATTTGAGACTTAAAAAATGTTCCCCCTTAATAAATGCAATTTAGAAATAGTTCCCCCTCAATCTATGCATAACCTTTATATCTTCCCCCTTTTGACTTTAACAAAAAGAATTAAAAGTAAACTTTTATTCATTTAAAAGGGAAATGCAGAATACAACGGATAAAAACACAATCATATTTAATAAGGAGAAAATAAAGAAGATGTCGTGGCGCCGGTGTTGGCCTTCTTCTTTGAAGCCTCGGTTTTGGTCCTTGACTTTCCTCTAGCCATTGTTGAAGCGTTTAGAAGGTGAGTAGAGGCTTAAAATATGCAAGAGGAATGTGAGTTGTGTGTTAAAAATGATCAAGGATGGTTAATATTTATAGGAAAAGAGAATTTGGGCCCTTGGTGTTAAAAATATGGCTGTTAGGCATTGAATGAGGTGCCCAACGGATATGATTTTTGAAGTACAACAGGCTTCCCAGCGATGGTAAGGTTCTCCCATCGATGGGAAGACGGGTACTGGAAAGGGAGGAAAAAAGTGAAGGCAGCCTTCCCAGCGATGGTAAGGTTCTCCCATCCATGGGAAGACAGCTACTGGAAATCCGTTAAAAAATATTTTTTTTTAAAAAAAAGTGTCAAACACCCAGCGATGGGAAGAAGTTCCCATTGATGGGAAGAGGGCTGCTGGTTTGAAAATACTTCCTTCCCAGCGATGGGATAAACCACCCATCGCTGGTTCCCCCTGAGTTCCTCACTTTGATACGTACCTGCAAAAAAACAACACTTTGGTACCCAAAGTATGTCTATGGGTCCTTGGAGGTAAGTTAACCTTTATTGCACACACACACACCCAAAATTCGTTTCCTAACGCGCGCGCACACACACACACGATTAGATGATCGTTTAGGAGTTACCTTGGCCAACCCATGATCTCGTGGTTGGCGGGTTCCAGTCTACCTGAACGGAGTGCCGATATCTCGGTGTGATTTGTGTCGGTTCTGGTAACGGAATGTGGACATTCTTCTTTTCGTCAAAGTAGAAGAAATAATAAGGTTTCTTTTGTGCATTGTCCTGTGGAGATTGTTTATGATTCGAATATCCTTTTCCAAAGGATTTCTTTTCATTAGCACCAAATACGTTGTGTGTTTCATTGTAGGTGAAGTGCCTATGT